AGGAAGACGAAATGGCGTCGAGCTGCATTCTGTCACATACACTGTATACATAGTACGTACAGTATAAAATTAAATCGGAGCTGTATTTATGTTCATGGTTTTAACATGTACAGTACTAGTGTACGATCCAAGCATTACAATGTATATTCCTTATTAAAATAAATCAATTTGTTCATCTTGAATTATTCTGAATGTGAATGCGAAAATCGTCAGCAGAAACACGAAATTAATGCAATAATTTCAAAGCGTATTTCTCGTAACAGCAAACATTATTTTCATAGAGTAGTATTCACTACGTTATTTTTTAAATCCTTTCAGTGTAAGTAGTTACATTAATTTGTTTGTCTTTTCTTGTAAAGTGTATAAAAAGCTATACCAGAGAGAGAGAGAGAGAGAGAGAGAGACTCATACAACCCCCTTTTAACATATAGTCTGTAATTTTTTTTTTAATTCTTTGTTTTATTTAAGTTACGGAGGTTACAATTAATCAATCTATAATTCTATTTAATTGCCACAACTTTTGTTTATATTCAACCCATTTAATGCAATTATTATTGTTTTACAAACAGCGTGACAGTTTGCTTGATGGGGCGTGCTAAAATTTTGTGTGCTGGTTATCATTTTACTCATCGATTGGATCAATGAAATCAATACTGATTTGCATATGAAACTCGGAATACAACAATAGCCTGATAATACTGGCCAATCACATTGAAGGGTTGTTTACCAGTACAGCATTTGTAGTCAGCAGCAACACGTGGTCAGTCAAAGCCCGTGTTTCTGTCTTCAAAAAAGCATACATGTATTTTATTTGTTGTGATTTGACCGGATGGGTTTTTAAATACGTATAAGAAAATTTAAAGAATGAAATTAGTAAGGCTACTCTGCTTCTGTTGTACTATATATGTGCGTTGCTCTATCAATATCATCATTATAGGAAGTAAAACTTGCTTTGTCCGTTCACGTGTTATTGTTGTTTATTCAATGCGATTGGTCAGTATTGTCAGCGGTATTGCTGTGTTCTGTGTTTCATATCCAAAGTATTATTGATTCCATTGAAATCAAACATCCAATCGATGAGTAAAAAGAAAATCGGGCATACGAAATTTTAGCACGCCCTATCAAGCAAACTGTCACGCTGTTTGTAAAACAATAATAATTCGTTCTCTGTATATGCTGTACGCACAAAATTCTCGTGCATCACCTGCCAATCTGACGCTAGGTGACCTTGAAAGTCTGTTTACGCGGAAAGAATTTCTCTTGTGATTTGAAACAATCTTATGGTCAGTTCCGAGTTCACACCTGTTCAAAAATATATTGGGTCTCTGCCGGTGGGCCAGGGGCGCTGTATGTTTATCACACATTTCAAATTCTTTAGCTCTGACCACAGCATGTGTATACATGTAACACACTCAACTGATTCATCTTCCAGGTTTCACTACAACAACAATTATAAACTTACATGTATTTGTTAATAATTTATCCTTTTTCAGACACAAATAAGAATGTATCCCGTAGATTAAGATTAAAAAAAAACAAAGCATAAATTTGCAGACTTCTGATAAAGTTTGAACTAGCTGATTCGTATCGCTTTTTTAGAAGGGGGGGGGGGGGTAAAAATCGCTAAATATCTATGTTTTCTCAAACCGTTTTTTCTTTTCACACGATATATTTCAGAATGAAGTAATATTCGTACTGAAGTCAAGTTAGCACATTTCATTTGCCAAAAACTCGGCTGTGATGTTTGTATTCAGCGTGTTTACTAAGTTTATCACTGTTTTAATTAATGAAATTATTCAGATTATTATCGCTGCCTGTTCAGTGGATTTTCGAGTTTACCGCATTTTAAATTAATATTTGTCTCCATATTTTACATAATTACAGATTTTTAGTGTTAGTCTAACTGCAATAATCCTCATCTGAACCTGTCCAATGATTCGCCGAGTATCGGTATCAAAGAGCAGAATTAATGTGCGAGTCTGATACCTTTTTTTTTTTAAAAAATTTAATCTACACACAGTTAATGTACATTTAATTTCTTACAAAATAATTAATTCACTTAGTATAATCACGCATCTGATATGTAATACGTAGAGAAAAACGATCTTGTATCAACGATTTAATTGAACACAGTTAAAATCAAAATCGAAAGTAGAGACAATCAAGTAATTCATTTATGAAAGCGTGTTTCCTCTTAATGTAATATAATAATAGTCTATTGAACTTTTTATGACTAATATAATTAGTATTTAACTTGAAACGTGACTGTATATTTTTTTTTTGCCGGACACGAGTACGTTGTTATTAAGTTTTAAGGCATCTTATTAGTTTTAATTATCTGTATGCGATAAATTACCAATATTGATTTATGGAAAAAGTACAACAAATATTTCGAAAGAAAGTTGATTTAATTTTATTAAATAAAGGCAATGAGAATGTTTAAAATATTTATCATCAGAACTGTGACACACCGTGTTACACGGTGCACAGAAACGCTGACTTCAAAGACGCCGACAAGGTTCGAGGTCCACGCTAAAGCGTGGACTTGCGGTCCACGGGGCCCCGTGTTTTTTGCGGAAAACTCGTGGCCTGTACTGTACTTTATTAAATAATCCAGGAGTCTTCAAAATACAATGTATCTTTAAAAAACAAGCATATAGAGACTTTGAGATTCTTGGCAGCTTTGTATTAACAATTTTTATTGCCACCTAGTCCAGGATTCAGTGACTGGTGATCTGGTTGTTTTCAGATATAGATGAGTGTTCCTCTAACCAGCACCTTTGTACACAGAGATGTATTAACACACAAGGAAGCTACAGGTGCTCTTGTACTGACGGCTTCCAACTCAGATCAGACAACACAACTTGTGAAGGTATAAAAGAACTCTATCTTTAATTCTAGAAAGTATCTGTGAAGACTATTTTCCATTATAACCTTTGATTGTAGATGTAGATGAGTGTAGCCTTGAGACATCAGACTGTCATCAACAATGTCTTAACACTATAGGAGGATACTACTGCTTCTGTTATGAGGGATTCCATCTGACTGGTTCTAGTCAATGTATTAAAGGTAATCTCTCTCTCTCTCTCTCTCTCTCTCTCTCTCTCTCTCTCTCTCTCTTTCTCTCTTTCTCTCTCTCTCTCTCTCTCTCTCTCTCTCTCTCTCTCTCTCTCTCTCTCTCTCTCTCTCTCTCTCTCTCTCTCTCTCTCTCTCTCTCTCTCTCTCTCTCTCTCTCTCTCTCTCTCTCTCTCTCTATATCTCTCTCTCTCTCTCTCTCTCTCTCTCTCTCTCTCTCTCTCTCTCTCTCTCTCTCTCTCTCTCTCTCTCTCTCTCTCTCTCTCTCTTCCTCTCTCTCTCTCTCTTTCTCTCTCTCTCTCTCTCTCTGTCTCTCTCTCTCTTTCTCTCTCTCTCTCTCTCTCTCTCTCTCTCTCTCTCTCTAGACACGTTGGAAAGCAAAACATACACACAATATATTGTCAGTCCGTGCAGTTGTGGTAAGCAGAATGTGACGACTGGTTGAACGCACCTCGGTCTTCTCTCTAAACAATAACTCTCGAGCCCTCTTTACAAAAACTGTGTACATAACACGAGTGTGCTCGATTTGCTAAACTCTGCGCGCATCTCTTAGTTCGGAATGACGATACTTGTGAAGGTGTTTTGCTTTCTAACATTTCTACTCTGAATAAAATTATTTTTCTTGATAAAAGTTTTAATATTTCTCATTAAAACACATCAAAATTGACACTTTTCCTAAGGATTAAGAATACAGTTAAAATTTGTGAAAGTGCAAGGATGTGTCAATCAAACCCGCCAAAAAATTTGAAGTTTTAATAACTTTTAAACGAAATAAGATTTTTAATTAATTTTTGTGTGAAATGCTATTAAAATATATAATTCGTGATATTATACAGAAAAAATGAGAAAATATTAACTTCAAATCTGTGTCCAAGTACCTTTAAGGTGGATACTACTGCTTTTGTTATGAGGATGTAAAAGTTGTTAAACAAATAGTCAAATAATTAATTTGGGCTTGTTAAAGCCCATATTTCATTAGCCCTTTGACTCCCAACCTATTTCAATTTTGGCCAATTCATGATTTCTTTCTCTTGTATACAGATGTCTCTACCTCCCCCTGTGTTGCCACGGGTGATTCCTGTCAGTATGGATGTAGAGTGGAAGGAGGACTAGCTTTCTGTTTCTGTCCAAATGGATACACACTGAACACAGACAGGACAACTTGTTCATGTAGGTATACACACTGAACACAGACAGGACAACTTGTTCATGTAGGTATACACTGAACTCAGACAGGACAGCTTGTTCATATAGGTATACACTGAACACAGACAGGACAACTTGTTCATGTAGGTATACACACTGAACACAGACAGGACAACTTGTTCATGTAGGTATACACACTGAACATGGACAGGAAAACTTATTCATGTAGGTATACACTGTACACGGACAGGAAAACTTGTTCATGTAGGTATACACACTGAACACAGACAGGACAACTTGTTCATGTAGGTATACACACTGAACATAAACAGGACAACTTGTTCATGTAGGTATACACTGAACACAGACGGGGTAACTTGTTCATGTAGGTATACACACTGAACTCTGACAGGACAACTTGTTCATGTAGGTATACACACTGAACTCTGACAGGACAACTTGTTCATGTAGGTATACACACTGAACTCAGACAGGACAACTTGTTCATGTAGTATACACTGAACTCTGACAGGACAACTTGTTCATATACTCCCTAGGTATACACACTGAACTCTGACAGGACAACTTGTTCATATAGGTATACACACTGAACACAGACAGGACGACTTGTTCATGTAGGTATACACACTGTACACAGACAGTACTTGTTCATGTAGGTATACACTGAACACGGACAGAACAACTTGTTCTTGTAGGTATACACTGAACACAGATGGGGTAACTTGTTCATGTAGCTATACACTGAACACAGACAGGACAACTTGTTCATGTAGGTATACACACTGAACTCTGACAGGACAACTTGTTCATGTAGGTATACACCCTGAACTCAGACAGGACAACTTGTTATGTAGGTATACACACTGAACTCTGACAGGACACCTTGTTCATGTATTAGGTATTCATTAAGCACAGACTAATCGTACATAAGAAGAACAAATTAACAATGAGATATTTTTAAGAAAACAATTTTATATTCAGGAAAAGGTATTTGTAAGATCTGAAAATTGTGTCTTCTATTTGCATAGTGCAGGCTTACTTGTACGTTGTAGACATATTTCACTGACTTTTATCTTCACACAGTAACAAAAAGATCAAGTCTGCACCATGCATGTACTGAATATATTTTACAATCAAAATTTTTGACATAAAATACTTCTTTCTTTCAGAACCTTTGAGAATTTTAAATAAATTTGTGTGATTTTCTTGAGGTCATATCTAAACATATGAGTTATGATGTCATAGCTTGTGCAATGTTGAATGTGTTTATTGCATCCAAACCCCCGGAGAGGGTGAAAAACTACAAACAAACAATACAAAAATGTAAACAGTATGTCGATATAAAACATACACAATAAAAATATGACTAGAGCAGGTTTCCATAATTTTGGATTTTAACAGATTTCAAGGAGGAGCTGTTCTATCGAAATTATTTCCATAAAATAATAAACAGACATTAAAATAGTTCATCCCTAGCATGTTTACAGATGTATTAATAATGCAATAATCAATCAATTGATGCAATCAAATTTAACGATCAAAACAAAGACAGGTAAAAAACGTGCCAAGTGCGCCTTGACTCAATACCACAGTTAAAAAATTACATATGACTAGAAAACGAGTATTATGCATTGCCTACACATCATAGTAAATGAAAAATCACAAAACTTACTTCATAGGTGGCTTTAAATACAGAAAAATAAGCTGGGTTCTGGAACCCAAGGTTGGCACTGATGCCTTAGATCGTTTCTGGTATACAATAAAAGTAAAGTAAAAACCAACAAATCCGGAAAGAATAATTCCGGGGCACTACAAGCTGTTGCCTTAAAATCTGGAATTATCTTCTAAGCTTTAAGCATAAAGATTTCTTCAACAAAGTTGGATTTTGGGGGGTAGGTATTGGCATTACAGTTTATGGTCCTTTGCTTTTTTCAGATGTAAACTCAACAGTAAATGTACAGTTGAAGACAAATATCAATTTCCAGTCTGAGTACAGTAATCCTTCTTCACTGCTGTACAAGAACTTAAAGGAGGACATGGAAAGTGAGGTATAATATTAAATCCTTCATGTTATAAAGTTGCACAATTCTTGGATGCGAAAAATGCAACATGAAATTCCAGTTAGTTATCACAAAGTTATCTTTTTCTAGACTCAGACCTTTTTTGTCAACATGCAGAATGTGAAGTCTGTCAAGATTTTAGGAATAAGGTAAGTCACTATGCCTATTGTGAATTATAAGCATCGTTCAGATTCGTTATACAGGTATAAGTTAGTAATATTTTTTGCTTTGTGTTTACAGGGAGAGCAGCACTGTATTTGACCTACAAGTGAAGTTGAACACAAATCTCACCATGGGGTTGGAGGCTGAGTTGAGTACAGCTCTACAGAACATGTACCAAACAGGAGTACAGCTACAGGGAACTAAATATAGCGTACTACAAAACCCTGTTATATCTGTACCTTATAGTAAGTATCTGTTGAACCTAGCAGAATCTTTAATAAGTTCACACAATAGCTCTTATTGAATGGGCATATATTTGTTTTAAGATTTTATTTTACAACAGTTACAAACAGGCTTATACCAAAGTGCTAAATGCAGACAGTTTTGCTTTTTGGTTTGATTTTATTTATTATGCCCCCCTTCGAAGAAGGGAGGGCATATTGCTTTGCTGCTGTCTGTCGGTCGGTCTGTCGGTCCGTCGGTCTGTCGGTCCACTTAGTTTCCGTTCATTTTCTTCGCAACCGTTGCACATACTGAAATGAAATTTGGTATACAGATATATCACATGAATATCTGGGCCAAGTTCTGTTTTGGGTACAATCGCACCATTTTTGACAGAGTTATGCCCCTTGGACTTAGAAAAGTTTCATTATTTGCAGTGTCCGTTCATTTTCTTTACAACCGTTGCACATACTTAGATGAAATTTAGTATGCAGATATATCACATGAATATCTAGGTCAAGTTCTGTTTTGGTTACGATCGCGCCATTTTTGACAGAGTTATGCCCCTTGGACTTAGAAAAGTTCCAATTGTTTGCAGTTTCCGTTCATTTTCTTTGCAACCGTTGCACGTGCTGAGATGAAATTTAGTATACAGATTTTTCAGATGAATATCTAGGTCAAGTTCTGTTTCGGGTATGATCGCACCAGTTTTCACAGAGTTATACCCCTTGGACTTAGAAAAATTTCAATTATTTGCAGTTTCCGTTCATTTTCTTAACAACCGTTGCACATACTTAGATGAAATTTTGTATGCAGATATATCACATGAATATCTGGGTCAAGTTCTGTTTTGGGTACGATCGCACCAGTTTTCACAGAGTTATGCCCCTTGGACTTAGAAAAGTTCCAATTGTTTGCAGTTTCCAGTCATTTTCTTTGCAACCGTTGTACATATTGAAATGAATTTTTTTATACAGATATATCACATTAAAATCTAGGTCAATTGTGTTTTAGGCATGATTGCACCATTTTTGACAGAGTTATACCCCTTGGACTTAGAAAAATTCCAATTATTTGCAGTTTCCGTTCATTTTCTTCACAACTGTGCACATGCTGAGATGAAATGTAGTATACAGATTTATCAGATGAATATCTAGGTCAAATTCTTTTTGGGTACGATCGTGTCATTTTTGACAGAGTTTTTGCCCCTTGGAATTGGAAAAATTCCAATTTGGGGGGAGGGGGGCATAAGTGTTTTACAAACATCTCTTGTTTTTTTTTGTATTGTAGACCCTGCCCCGTGTTTACTTTGTCTTTCCACTGAAAGATGCCACATCCTTGTGGATAACAGCTATGTATGCAAACTTTTCTGATTTTCTTGTTGGTGCACATTTTGGGGTTTTTTGATAAGCATCAATAAACACTCAATCTTTTTGCTTACTTTTTGATGTAGTCGTGCAAAGTCTGTATTCATTTCAGAGCTTCTCAAACTGTTTCACCTGTACCATAAAACTTCTTTTGAAGTGTTTTGCATATTGTGTTATATGACCTACAAGTTATAAGAAATATATATAGATTAAGTGTAAAGGTTATTTCCCCCCAATTAATTAAGACTACTTTAACTGCATGAAGAACTAAAAGTTTGTACTCTTTCTAATGCTTGAAGAACTATTAAATTTGTACAATAATGCTATTTCTTTTTTTTTTCTTTTTTTTTTTTTCAGAACAATTTCAGGTATGCAACAGCTTTATTTAAATCTATAATATGCACACTTAGTTCAAGCAACTGTATATATATAGTTATTCTTTGATAGTTTATAGTTAAAGTTTATAACCCAATTACATTTACATTCAATTTCTTTATTTACATGTATATGAAATCATCAAATTTAACATTTTTCAGTGAGTACTACTAATGCAGTGTACCTGAAAATAGCAATAGCTAAGAGTTATGAAGCATATATGGTGGATACAACAGATATACAGTATGCTGTGTTTGAAAATTCCATCATCACAACTGTAAGTTTTATGCTACGCCTACAGTTTACAACTAAAGGGTGGGGGGTGTAGTGGCTTTTATGAAATATAAAAATTCTTGGATCATAAGAAAGATAGAACTTAGTTAAAATATTTTTTTCTAGCTGAATGGAATACTGAATTTCACAGTGGTAGACAGAATCCAATTGTCAACAATATCGTGAGTGACCATAGAATTATTATCAATACTAAGATATTTTGATTTCTATATAATATTAGTTCTTGCATTATCACATAATTTGACATATTTCTATTTGAAGACATTTTGTTGAAATGCTTGTTGTATATTCCTTTGTGACATAATTGGCAATTTTTTAGTTTAACTGTCACTGAGAATGGAAAGTTGAGTGTAAATATTTTTTTGTGTTTGTACAATGGATTCAGGATATCAGAACTGTAAACTAACCTTTATTTCAAATAGATATGGAATCTGATATAGAATTTATGAATATTTCTGGTGTTTCAGAGCTTTGTCCACTGGAACAAAATTACATGTGACAGTCTTCCTGAAAACTTTATCTGACCCAGATTTTGTGACCCTGATTGCCAGTAGGACCAATGAGAGAGTAGACACTGTAGGGTGTATAACTCTTGGTGGTAACTGTGTACCTTTGTTAAGGAATACAGACATCTTTGATGGAACACAAGAAGGTTACATTACTTCAGTGTTTGTAAAATGACAAAATTGTACAAATACAAATAAACTTGCAAAAAGAGTATACATGATTACATACTTAAAGTATATGTCACTTGGACTTAGTTTTCCTTTTTATAACCAACTTAAAGATTCTTGGTCACTGCATGGTTGCAAGCAAAAAATTGACCTTCAATTTATTTTCTTTGATACAGTTCCAGTGGTATGCAAGACCTGTTCAGAAAATGCTACATGTATCACTAATTCCCCAGGCTGGTGGAATTGCTTCATGTAAGTTAATGACTGAACATACATTTGTACATGTATACCCCTATTTGAATGAAGTTTAATAGATGTACAATATTTTCACCTGTTATTATATTAGAGACAAATCAAGGAAATTTATTAGATCATGAATAAATGATTGCACTTATAACTTTATCAGAAAGTTAATTTGATTGAACTTTTTGAAACCTTATGTGAATTATCTTAATAAATGACTATTAAAGTCGAAGTTTACTTAGTCTAATGGCATAGTTACTGTAATTGTTACATTTATTTTAAATTATTACAGAAGTACTACTGTAATTCCGTCTGCTTCAACTATTCCTACAACAACAATCGAAACATCAACTGGTAAGAATTAATGTATAGTCTCTGGATTAATTGTGTAGATGTATTTTTCTTGTGTTGTTTATTGTATTCCAACTTGAAAAGTATAATATTGTCCATCTGTTACACTTAAGGGTAGCCATCACTTATATAATAAATGTCTTCATCACCAATGAATGCAGTTTAACTTTCATGAAACTTTTTACATAGTGGAGTGAAAATCTATTTTAAATTTTAATAGGGCACATATTTAGGATTTCCCTTAGCAAATCATGGACATTGCCATCTATTCTAAAATATATGGGGTATCTATCTCTTATCCTCAACTGCTGCTAAACAACTGTAAAGAAACTTTCCCAGAATCTTTTTTACATGTTTTTGTGTACCTCCTATTTTTCGTTTTAATTTGACATATTTTGAGATTCCTATAACAAGACATTGAGACTTTGCTGTTATACATTTGTTTCAATAAAGAGGTTACCAATTCTGTTAATGCAACTTAGTCTTCACCCCCAAATGAAATTCTGTGGAGCATTTACAAAATCTCGTTTGCATATATTTCCAAGAAATACACTTTGCTATTACGTGAACTCAAATGGGAGCAGCTGTGGGATATCATTTTATGAGCTCAGTGCTCACAGTATCTCTAGTTTTTCCCATAGCATCTACTACTTGAATTTGTGCAAACTTCTGCATGTCATGTCCCTTTAAAATATCAGTTATATACATTTTGTTTAATTTGTACTTTACTGAGAGCATAATGCAGAGCTGCCAACCCTTATGATTTTGGCGTAAGTCTTACAAAATTAGCGTCTGAAATATGCCTTACGATTTCTCTCAACATTTTTCCAATTTTGGTTTTTCTTGATCAAAGTTTATAATACCGGAATTTTCATAACTGGCCATCTACAGATTCTACTATTATAATTAAATATTCATAATCCTTACAACACTTGCTGTTTCGTCGTTTTGGTTTTATATGGCTGATCGCATTCATGTCAGTGTTTTAAAGTAAACAAAATGGAAACGTGTCTCAAATTGCTCCGATTGCATGTCCATTTACAAAACTTCAGGGGCAGGGTCCTAGGCGGCCCCCAGACCACACCTTACTATTTTTCATTTCAGAATGTTGGCAGCTGTGTAAATGAAGTAAAAATCAAGATATGATACTTTTCCCTGTACAGTATTATGTGTCTTAAAACATTTTAATTGTTTAAGAAATGGAATATTTATGTAAAATGTAGATGATCTAAGATAACAAGACATTTTTCATTTACAGTTTCAGCAGTTCCTACTACACCCAGAACAATCACAGAGGACAAGCAGATCCTTGTGGGGGTGGGGGTAGCAGTCCCCCTGGGGGCCCTTTTCCTTACCCTCATTATTGTTCTTGGTATATATTTCTGCAGGAAGTACACACAAAATACAAAGGTTGGTTTATTTAAAGGTTTTTATTATCTTCTGTGACATAATTGTGAGTGGTTAGCTGTATTTGAGGACAGTTCATTTAGCTCAAAGTTCAAGGTTTATATGTAGAATTCACAAAGTATTTCTGAGCAGGAACTTTATTAAAATTCATGAGTGTAATAGCATGTTCAAATTTTAGTTTACTTTTATTCAAAGTTTTGTTAAAACATTGTTCCAGGATCATGTTCAGATGGTCTTGGTTTAAATTTTTCTCATTGTGTTGTTATGTACCGTGAAACCTGTCTAATCTGACATGCACTGGGAGATAGATTTTATGTTGGAATAGACAGGGTGTCGGACTGCACAGTAATCACAAGAAAGGCATGAAAATGGCAAATTGGGAAAGAAATTTAATGTCAGAATTCAGAGTGTGTTGGACTGCTCAGGTGGCGGATTAGACAGTTTTCACTGTAGTAGTTGTTTCGTTTTGGACTATTAATATTATTTTGATACACTTTTACAGGAATAGAGCTCAAAATTATACTGCAGGGCCACTACCCAGAAACCCTACAAACAGAGAGAGGGTGAGTGCTTAAAACCTTTTTTATATAATTATTTTTTGATTTTCATTCTGACATAAATGTACATTCTCTGTAGAATGTAAACATTTCATTAACAAGGTGATATGGCACTTAAGTTTGTATATTTTAGACAATTATGTGATTTGTCAAAAAAAAAAAAATATGATTGATCAAGCTATATGTTTAAAAAAGATACTGTAGGTTCCTAATTATACGCGAGGAATTAATTTCCGCTTAATTTTGCGAGAAGCATTGCTCACGAAAAAATTTTACTAGCTTTTATTTTAATGATGCTGAAATGTATGTAAAATCAGTTGATCAACCGTAAATGCGCAAATTATAATTCTCGCGATTTGACGTTTAATAGCCAGTTCACAATAAAAGGTACTCGCAGAAAATAAGGAATCTACAGTATTTTCTTATGAAAAATTTATACAATAATAATGTACTTAATAAACCGACTTTTTTATACATTAGTATTCAGAACATTTTTTGGAGAAAAAAATATTTATCTAGAATGCATGATTTCATGTACATGTGTCACATTTGACACAGTAAAATGTAATTATAAAATGTTGTGTTTTGCAGGTAGTCTTTCGGCAACCTATAGGACACATTAGACAACCTTCTGCCCAAGTAAGTATATTATTGGCATGTATCAAAATACCATTAAAAATCAAACACAGATTTTAATTTTTTTTTTTTCATTTTAATTCTTTATTGGTCACTGGTCACATTAAGATTTAGAATTGTGTGGATTCAGACTTGGTTTTGTTAGATGGAGGCATGTTCAGTTTAATTTCTCATTAACATGATTAATGAACATTCACTCCTGCATAAGTATAGAAGTTGGTCCATGAATATCACGTACATATACTACCCAACTAGCATGAGTGTTTATTCAATTTATCAAAAATATTTTTTTTTTTTATAGCTAAACTTCTTGAGTAATTTCATTGCAACTTAGTTTTAAAAAATATAAATTTTATAGTTTTTGACATTTTAACAGAGGTCTGAGGTTTTGACTCACCATTTTAATTTTTTTTTTTTTGAACTTGGAAAATGAAACTGATTAAATTTATTTTTGAATGTATGATTGGTGTACCTGTCATATTTAAAAAATGTTATTGATCTCTATTCACCATAATACATAATGTCACACAAAGCAAATTGGTGTTTATTAACTCACCCAACATTTTCAATCTGAATTGAACATAACCCGAAAATTGGGAAAAAAGACTATTTGATAATTGTATAATCACAAATAATGATCCAATGAATTCTTCTAGAATAAACTATGCACAATATCTTTGAGAACTATTACCGTGTTTGTTTCATAGATAAGACCTACCCTACGTAATGGTATACCACCCAGCTACCCACGGTTATATCCTGTTCTGGACCATCTACAAGGTACAACATTTTAACACATCTAGCCAGAAATAAAGGTCTCTATCTTTGTTTACAAATACTTCTGACCATAGTTTCCTAATCTTTCAGTCTTTTCCTGTGTCAATTAATAAGTTTATTAATTTCATGCATTTGTCTCCAATATGCACCCTTTTTCACTGCAAAATATTCTGTAGGGGGAAATGTTTCATGCTAAATTTTGAGAGTACATTTAAAAAAAAAGGCAAAGACACAAATATGCTATTTAAAGGAAAGCAGAAAATTTGATGTCTTGCTAATACTTTTTTTTTTTTCAGATGACCGTCGGTCAGGTCGAACATCAAGACAAAAGGACAATGTAAGATTTTATTACTATATAGTCTCTCTTTTTATAATTATATATTATGCATATGAAATATTTCAAGTGTTAGGGATAAAACCTCTAATACTTTTTTTTTTACAGTTTGCTTTGCAGCGTCCTTTGGTGGATCAAAGACCCAGTACTATATACAACTCCTAGGTTTGTTGTTATGTATACATTCTGAAATATATATAATTACATGTATAAGTAGAGACCTCAGAAGGCGAAACATTACAAGAATTATTCTTGTATATCCAATAAAAGAAATACACTAGTTTTATTAACCCTTTCAAAGTATTTTTTTTTCAAAATACTTTTTACAGGCCCTTTGACTGGAGGAAGGGTGATTGGTGTTTTAACCTTGGATGTGCTACTATTGCTTTTATGTTTCCAAATCTCTCTCCAAGTTGCGGGCCTGTAGCTTCATCGTCAGTTTCAAGATGTGGCTTACCAGTAGTATCGTCCTTGAATTTTTTCAAAAGTTAATAGTGATGTACAGTATTTATTTTCTTTTTTTCCTAATTACAAGAAGAGAGTGTGTATTTATCTATATGTTGCTGATTCATTGACTCTATTATGTTCATTGTTTAGTTAAATATACACTCAATATCCTTTGAATATTTTATATCTCTTGAATATTTATTTGTTAAATGATTTTTGAAAAAAAATATAGGGATTATATTATAATTTTTACAAACAAATCGTTATATTTTTGACAATATTTTTGCTACATATTTATTAAATATATACAGTGTTACTTTTGAGAATATTTTTGCTACATATTTATTATATAGAGAGTTATGTCTACAAATGTTATAACTATATTTTTCAGCAGAAGTTATAATAAAACTATCTTTTAAAATTAATGGCTTTGCATTGTTAAATTGTTTCCGTAGCATTCTTGCTGGGAAGTGTGTTTTATGATCGAAAAGTAGGTCAAGGTGACCTCATTTAGATATTTTAAGCTGAACTTAATTGTTCAAATTATCATCATAAAATTGCAAGAGTGTTAAACCTAATTGCCAGTTGATATGCCTTTTGCAATGCACACCTTTTCATACTTGAAATGATGCAAAAAAATGGGAGGAGTTGACCTAAAAGCCTGGTGTTGAAATTCTACATGACCCAACCTTGTTATTGTGGTCACAATTTAAGGAAAAACCATTGTAGCTTTTAGTGTTGTATTTGCTTATATAAGCATCATTAGGCAACCGAAGAAAGACTTGTTTGATTTTTAAAGTCAAGCTGCATTGAAATGAGGAAATGAAGAGAACAAATTGGTCTCTGTATTGTGAAGAAGTGTACAGGAGAAAGATAATGGCTGAGTGTTAAAAATATATTGTAGACAGGCAAAACTGAATTTCAACATTGTTGCCAGAATGATTCTGATAACATGTATTGACTTGACCACCAGCAATTCGAAGGGCCAAAATGTTGATCAAGTTCATAGAATAATGTTCAATTCCTTGTCCTGACTGATGGACTTGAAATAGAGAACATTAGAGGAGGCTTGTATACTTATCATGTATATTGACCTTGCCCCAGGGTCATTCCAGAAAGGTTATGGTCACAGTACTGTAATAGGAATGAAGAAATGAATGAGGAAAACGGGGAATCGAACCTACATACATTGTAACCAGGCCCTAAGACCATAAACTGAGAACAGACTTGAGTCAAAATTTCAAATCAATTTAACTTTTGAAATAATTTTGATAACAAGACAAAATTTTTACCATACGTTTTGAATGTAATATACAATTCTGCGAATTTTGGATGATGTATGTATTAATTTATAAATGACAAGCTATTCAAAATCAAAATTTTGACTTATTAAATCTGTTCTCAGTTTATGGTCAGCTAATCTCTCAGATAACCATGTAATTACTCAGTATATCAGTATTCATTTATGCAAACTTCATTTGTTAAACAGATTAAATTTCCAGTTATTGGTTAAATTTTTTGCTGATACATTTATTTATTTCAATCAATTTTACTTCTATGAACGAATTTAAATCGTTTTATTTTACGAAGAGGTCCATGGGCCACAACACTCACCAGAGTCAAACTAGCCTTGCAGTTTCTCCCGTATATATTCCCCTCTGTAAATAATTACAAGGCAGTAGAGCTACAATCTTGTCAGAGACTTATAGTATTTAAATTTGTCACAAAGTATCCTTAGCCCAAGGGTTCTCGTTTATAAATGATATGGATATGATCCTTAATCAAGCGGAGACAAATAGGAAAACTAAAAAAAAATACTCTTCTCAAGAACTAATGTGTAGACTATCACCAAACTTATACACAGGGATGCATCTGGATAGGAATGTGGATTTATTGTAGATTAAAAATTGTTCAAGGCAAGAACATGGTCTCAAGGTCACTTCAAAGTTGACCAAAAATTATCTATATTCTAAACTTCAAGTATTAATTATATTTTTTTTATCAACCTTGGTATACTGATACAATCAAAGATTGTAAAAGTCTTTTTTGCCTTAGACTTTGAAGTTGATTTTCTTCTCATTTCTCTTTTATCAGAATCAGAAGGCATTACTTTAGAAATCAATAATCAATTTGTAAGAACATGCATTATATACATAATTCATCTTTCAGATCGTATTTGTTTTATAATTATGTAAGTCACTTTAATCAGCGAGACTTTATCTAGCTATAATCAGGCACGTAGCAACAGAGGGGGGGGGGGGAGCACCTCCCCCCCCCCCCACACTTTTTTCCCCAAAATTACCTTTACTATAGAAAATGTCCATTGAAATGATGGTTGGCCCCCCACTTTTTACCACAGCATATTTATAGCAAGGAAAGGTAGGAAAAAATTGGTAGGTGAAAGGAAGTTGGCCTTGAAAAAGTTGGCCAGTACCCCCCCCCCCCCCCCCCCCCCCCCCCCCCCCCCCCACACACACACACACACACGAAATAGGATTTTTCGAGTTTGGGCAATTTTTGATTTTCTGTTTTTTTGTGGTTTTTTTTGTTTTTTTTTTTGTTTTGCTTGTCAACTTTTTTTAGGTAAGTAAAAAAAAAAAATTTCTTAGGTTGCCCCCCCCCCCCACTTTTAAAAACGATGCTACGTGCCTGATAATTAAGATAATATATGGTAGAATCAATCTCAATCCATATCAAGGATGTACATCAGGTGATAAACTACTTTGTTTAGACAAGGTCAAATGGCTTAGAAGTTAAGACATTTTTCAATTATAATACTTTCAAATTCAACACACTTAAGACATGTAATCAAAGGCGTTATGATTCAAACAACCATACAACAAAAATATGCAGCATATATAATATAGACTTATCACAGTCGCTTTTTAGCTCATCTGAATAAGCTCTTCTGGTCGAAAGAAATACGATGTAATATGTGTAATATGTAATATTACGGAAGCCCGTTGGTGCCACGTACGAAAAATATTTTATCTGGCGGCCGCCACTTATTATTTGGCGGCCGCCATTTGCATATCTGGCGGCCGCCAGATAATAATGTGGCGGCCGCCACTTATATATCTGGCGGCCGCCACATAATTTATCTGGCGGCCGCTATATAACATCTGGCGGCCGCCACATATTTTTCTGGCGGCCGCTATATAATATCTGGCGGCCGCTATATAATATCTGGCGGCCGCCACATAATTTATCTGGCGGCCGCTATATAACATCTGGCGGCAGCCACTTATTTGGCGGCCGCCATATAATTTATCTGGCGGCCGCCACATATTTAATTGCCAGCCGCCAAATATTCATCCGGCGGCCGCCACATAATTTATATGGCGGCCGCCAGATAACACCTGGCTTCCTGATGCGTGCGCATGTTTTAATGTGTGGTTTTAGATACAGTGTAAAAATTATAATAGCAGCAGCAATCAACCAAACTTGTTAGAGATTTATTTTGACCCCTGAAGAGGCTTCTTAATAATTGAAACACTCTACAAATACTTGCATAATTCAAATCAAATATTAATCTGCTCTATGCAAAAACATATCTACTAGAAGTTTGGATTGGAGTGTTGGTTCATAATAAATCTCTTACAAGTTTGGTTGATTGATGTTGCTATTATAATTTTTACACTGCATCCACCTCTAAAACCGAACATTAAAACATGCGCGCGCATCAGGAAGCCAGGTGTTATCTGGCGATATTATGTAGCGGCCGCCGGATAAATATTTGGCGGCTGCCAATTAAATATGTGGCGGCCGCCAAATAATAAGTAGCGGCCGCCAAATGTTATATAGCGGCCGCCATATAAATTATGTGGCGGTCGCAAATAAGTGGCGGCCGCCAGATATTATATAGCGGCCGCCAGAAAAATATGTGGCGGCCGCCAGATGTTATATAGCGGCCGCCAGATAAATTATGTGGCGGCCGCCATAAGAATTATGTGGCGGCCGCCATATATTGAGTGGCGGCCGCCAGATATATAAGTGGCGGCCGCCAAATAATAAGTGGCGACCGCCACATAATTATCTGGCGGCCGCCAGATAAACAAGTGGCGGCCGCCAAATAATAAGTGGCGGCCGCCAGATAAAATATTTTTCGTACGTGGCACCAACGGGCTTCCGTATAATATGGACTGTCATTTTTCAAATTTATGCCAAAGCTTTTTGTGTTTCACGGGGGGGGGGGGGGCATATGTTTATAGACAAAAAACGAAAAAAAAAAATGCTGATTTTTCACCAATTTTAAAGCCATTTACAACTAAGTAATTGTATTTTATTAATTTATTATTTTATATATGTTTTATTTATTTGCGTAAAACATAAGAAAAGATTATGAGATACATTTTATCATATTTAAGACTACTTCAAAATATGGTGATTCTTCAAAGTTTGATTTCACTAGAAAATATCGTCTATCCCCCTTTTTTCAAGAGCTGGAATTAATGATAATTTACTATCTAGCACTGGAATTAAAATAATTAATCAATATTACCATAGAACTGTTCTTTGTAATAAACAAAGATTTAATGGCCAAATTGCCATTAATATTGAATTTAATGGGTGCAAAATGTAGGCGGGAATCATGAGTTAGAGTTCGTAGTTCTTTGTCTGTCATCCATGCTGGCATTGGACATCGTCTTTGTTGTAAACTTTCCCATTCTCACCTTATAGGCGTCGGAACGGGGGGGGGGGCTAACCCCCCCCCCACTTTATATGCAAAGATAGACGTTAGTTATCATGTGAATATAGGAATTGAAAAATTAGGACTCCCCCCCCCCCCCCAACGTTTTTACCAGAGGAATTGGTCAATGTAATCTGAATCAAACATTTAATTCGCATCACTAAGCGGTTTAATCCGGAAAAAAAATAACCTGAGCAGAAGAATTCTATTTTACGCTACACCGCCGCGCGTATACAGGTACGTCATTTGTCCTGCGTAGACGTCATCCGTCGTGTCATAGTCAAGTGTTTTCATTCGTCTTACTCACTGTCAAGACTGTGAATGTATTATCGTCTTTTCATTGATAGAATAATTGTTTTATTTACTTTGGTATTTTTGATTATCCATATTATCAAGTGATTTTACCTTTCTATACTGATACTGAACTGAAAGATAACGGTTCACTATGGATGGCAATTCCAGGGTATCATTTTTCGAGAAAATACTATGTGAAGCTCTAAAAGACTAAATGCATCATCGAAAGGGTGGAGGGTACTTAAAT